CTACATTTTTATTGGGAAAAGTGGTTCAAGGAGTCATGTATCTGCTCCTTGAAACACCAATATCTCTATTATCTCACCTGACAACCTGGGCTGTAGCACCACATCAGCCAGCAAGCCAACTACAGTGTCCAGGCCTTTAACATCTGCAGAAACGGCATACATTGTGGTATCCCTGAAAGGGAAGCAAAACCGGGTTAACATTTGGTTAAAACATGTGGCTTCGGGATAGCTGTTTCCCAAAAGCTTACAGCCACTTTTTATGGATTCCATCAGCCTCCTCCTCAAATAATGCAATAAGCAATCTTTAAAATGGTAGTATGAGGCAGCCAATGAACTGAAGCAACCACAGCCCAACACTCAAATGGCACAGAAAATCCTCTGTGAGGGAAGACGGGGGTAAGCTCAAAAATACAAACAAAATGCAAGCTCCTGTAAGAGTAACAAAACTGGAAAGAGAGACAACTTGCAGAACACCAGTCATAAATCCAGACTGACATACAAAGAAAGAGGAAACGAAAAAGAAACAAATATTGTTGGGCTTAAAAGTGGATCCCAATCTGGAAAGAAAAAAAGACTACTAGCCACGTGCTTCAAGTAATACAGAAGCATACCTCGATGCCTGGCAATCACAGATTCCACCATGCTTTTCCAAGGTAAGAAGGATCTCATCCTTACTGCCAAACTGAGCTGTGGACTGACACAAAAGAAGAGAAGAAAGAATCAACGCTGGGTTTAAATCACATTTTAATTTTTGCTAAGTGGGGCTGGACCATAACAGCTTGGGAGGATTAACAGGAATCAGTTCAAGAGGCACATTCAAGAGGAGAGGGCACATTTGTGTGCCTCACAGGCGCTCTTGGAAGACTTCTGGAAGAATGCATTTCAGGTCTCCAAGGCTGCAGAGTAAAGTTCAAGAAGACAACCATAAGCCATATTACTTACAGAAAAAGCCAGCTTTTCCAGAAAATGAGAGATACCACCAATATATTTCGCTTCATATCTTGACCCTGAGTTTATAAGAACTGTTGAAGCAAAAGAGAGAGGATGTGAGTATTTTGCACCTTAAAAAGACCTCACAGCAAGTTGAGCAGCACATCCCTTTCTCCCAAACCTTCAGCATTCCAAGTCTACATTCCAAGCCGACCAAAAGATCCTGATTCCGCTGCCCCTGTTTGGCATTTCCTCTTGGCACAGTGCCATGGTGCTGCCCATTGTTCCCATACACCTTCTGGCCTAAGCCAAGGCTGGGGTGGGGAGAGAGAATGCATGTGCCTATGTTCATGGAACTCCACATGCTCGCAGTGTTGCTTCCATTGTTTAATAAAGCTTCTGTACTCACCATGAATAATTGAAGTTAAGATGTACAAAAACACAAAAGCAGAATAAAACCCAAAAGTGTTCAAGTAAATCAATCTAAGCATCAAACTACAATTTGAGCCAATTTAGAGACAAAGAATGAAAAACGTGATCTGTCTCTCCCTCCATCCTCTCTTCTCCAGGCAAAACATACCC